GAAAAACAAAAATGTCTTTTTTTGCACCTTATCAAACAAAGTACCCTATATTTTGTAGATGTACAGCTACATTTCTCATGTACAGTAAGTTTGCGTAGTTTTAACACAAACATTTATTTTTCATATTGCACCAGGACAGTTAATGAGCAACCTGTACTTGTGTGCTTGTTTGTTCTGTCTAAAATGTTTATTTTGGAATAAAGAGGTTAATATAAAAAAAAATTTTTGTGCGATTCATCGATTAATCGAAAAAATAATCGGCCAATTCATCGATTTTTAAAATAATCGTTAGTTGCAGCCCTAATTTTAATAAATATGAATTGTTTTTCCTAATGTAAAAAATACGGTTGTAGGGTTTGCAGCGCCCGTAGCTGTGGTCGTGCAGTTTGTAGTGGTTATATGGTTTGCGGGCACCTATAACTGTGGTTGTGGGGTCAAACTTCATAAGTTGTTTTCCGCAATTTCGGTCATAAAAACATAACAAGCCGACCTCCTGTCTGCGGCACTGTCTGCGGTCGATTACAATTTGGGAGAGGTGCAGCGGGGCGTGTGTGGAGGGGGCGGGGACGTCTGGAGCCGAGGTATTGCATTGCACACATTGCACTGATTTTGCGCAGTATTTTTTGATGCAAGGCCTTTCAGAATCTATAACGCAGGGGTATTATTATTTGTCAGTGAATGAGGTTTTAATAGGAATAGGTGGAGTGCAACTTTTCTACTTCTGTTATTTGCTGTTGTTTCTCAAATAGAATGCATAATGATATTACAGCTTTTATTGATTCATTTCAAATTTGAAATATTTTCTAGCCTGTAAGGTAAAAAAAATTTAAAATAAAACCACATAATCGAATTGTATCGTGGTGTATTCTTGAGTATAGAAAGTAATCGAATCGTTGGGTCAGGAAATCTATACTGAATCAAATCACCATGATGGGTGTGATTTACACCCCTAGTATGTAATGAAAAGCATGGACATGATGAATAAAACAGGCCATTCTCAGAGCCTAGGGTACCTCATAGCTAACTTCAAAGCATATGCCAACAAAGGTAGGATAACCTTAACCTTTGACCCTGTGCTCAAACCTCTTAATAAACGTTGCAGCATGTCAGCCTTTAAAAGTGTGATGCATTATTTATTATTATCTGGTTTATTTACATTTTACTTATTTAGAGCAAACAGAGAAAGATCATCACAGCTTCTGGGTCCTAATTATTGAAATGGTTGATGCTTTTATGACCAGAGGCAGATTTCTTCTCATCAGGTCAGTCTGTTAGTCGTGTAGAAGGTTCAGCAGTATTGAACTATATTACATACAGCAGTGTTCTCCTTGTTGACAGATTTACTGGTGTATTTTCCTATAACATTAAGCTGTCTTCTCCCGGGATCACAGGTTATACCCCCGTCACGCCAGTGCCTTGAACAACCTGGGAACACTGACCTCCAGCGCAGATGAGGCGGAGCATTTCTACAGGAAAGCGCTGGACATCAACCCTCAGCATAACCGCGCTCTCTTCAACCTGGGGAACCTTCTCAAGTAAGATCCAACTTCAGTGTC